CTTCAGTTCTCAGGGATTCCTGCGAAGCAGCATCTACTTCTTGAGTCCAGGTCCCCCGTTTCTTGGTTTGTGCCCTTGTTTTGAGACTGTGCAACCCCCACCCCATCCCTGGGCATTTCCAGACAGAGTGTTTTCTTCCACTTTCCTGTTAGATTGGTGGTTTGGCTGAGGTCAGTACTCTGGGTGGCGGCTAATTTCTCTTGCCTCATGTCTTCCAGCTTCCAGTCTCGGGCCGTCAGGTATCTGAAGCTGTCCTGCTTTACACATGTTTGTGTTTTCTTTTCTCTCTCCCTGAAAGCTGTGGGATCTCCTGTTTCCCACATCCTGCACGTCTACAGTGTGGGTCCGAGTGGGGTCTATTTTCACGTATTGTGCTGGACATTCAGCAGGCTCTGTTGTGTCTTCCACTCCTGGGAACTTTCTTAAAGGATATCACTGGTGGTTTCTTCCACTTTATTTTCTCCATTCTCTCCGCATGGAATCCTCTTTGCTGTATAAGGGGGCTTTCTGCATCGATCTTCTAACTTTCTTGTCTACATTTTTTCCTTCTTGTCTGTTCATTCTACTTTTGCATCCAATCCTTCTGTTGACATTTTAATTTTGACTCTCAGGTTTTTAATTTCTTAGGGCTCCTTCTGGTTCTTTGAATGCTCCTTTTCAAAAGGCAAACTGAAACTTGTTTCCTGGCTTCTGTGTCTTCTCTAAGCTCTCTGAGGATAATATACACAAGGACTTTCCTGGAGCTGCTTTTTTCTGTTCTTTGTCTCTTTCCTCCAAATTACTCTCTCTCTTTTTGGGTTTGAGTTTCTTTATTGGCTAACATTTATGAGAGGAGTGCTACAGAGCCAACAGGAAGCTCCTCACTGAGGGGACGGTTTCACTCTGGGTGTTGATGGGGGGACTGGCCACTGTAGGGGATCCCCCAAACATCAGCTGCATCTGCAGGGCTTTTCTCATGGCCCCTTCTCAGAGCCCGGCCAAGGGAGCATAAGGCAGGAGATGCCCAACCTGGTTCTAGCAGGTGCATTTTCACAGTGTCACCTGTATGGAAAACTCTGTCCTGACACTACAAACCACAGAGCATTTGTAGACCAACTTCCTCCGTTACATCCTGCCAGGGGCAGCTCTTTTTTTTTTCTTTTTTTAAAAAATATATCTTCATTGATTTCAGAGAGAGGGAGAGAGAGGGAGAGAGAGAGATAGAAACATCAATGATGAGAGAGTCACTGATCGAGCCCACAACCTGGGCATGTGCCCTGACCGGGAATCGAACCCTATCTCCTGGATCCTAGGTCGACGCTCAGCCATGCCCGGCTGGGCGGGGGGCAGCTCTTGGAAACCACATCACCCGTTGTTCACCAGTCCCATCCCTGGCTCCTGGGGAAGATGGGTATTATCTTTGCCACCAGGTAATTTAAGGTCAATTCTGTTGATGGAAAATTAAATCTGTCCCCCCTAGCAACTAAAAAAAAACCCCACAAATTTAGGCAACACAACAGCAAAATCAGTCAGTTAGTGATGTATTTGGTCCAGATGGATGAAACTTCTGGGTGATGGAGCTCGCTCAAGGCCTAAAGAGGGGTCATTCCTGATCTTTCCTCTCCAGCCCTCTTCCCATCAGCCAAAGGGCTCCAGAGCAGGCTGGCAGGAAGATACCGGACCAGGCACCTGAGAAGCCAGGCTGCTGTGAGGGGGAGATGCACCCTGAGGCAGTGACGCAGGAACCTCAGGCTGCAGGATGCTGGCGGGAGAGCCCGGTTGCTAGGAGACGGCAGCCAGTGTGGGAGAGCTGACTTGAGGAGTGTAGGCAGGGCTGGAGCTGAACCTGGCAGGCAATCCAGGGAAGACAGAAAAGGAAGGGCAGATCCCTGGCTTCATCTGCAAAGTCACTGGTAACACAGAAGGGTAGCCGGGAAAACACACTGTGTCCCCTGGTCCAAAATAAATCATACTCATGGGTAGAGGGAACATCTCTAAGGCTTGATGGTTCCAGTGGCTTGTTTGGGAAAACACTGGCTCCACCTTCTCCTTGGCCCCTGTTAGTGTGGCCTCTGGGGCTGAGAGATGTTTCAGGTAAATAGATTAAGGCTCTGCTGAGCGGAGAAGCTAGAGGATCCGTGTTTCTCTTTAAGGTGGAAAAGGCATGGGGGGGAGGGGGTGGTTGGGGGGTGTGGCACCCTGTATATGTTTGCCCAAATTTTGAAAAAGAAAATGTGTTGGGGAAAATACTTGTTCACCCATGGTCACAGCAGCGTTATTCAGATAGCTTAAACGTGGAAACAACCCAAGTGTCTGTCGACAGATGAACAGAGCAACACAATGTGGTCCATCCAGACAATGGGATATTCAGCCTTCAAACAGNGCCATGCCCGGCTGGGCGGGGGGCAGCTCTTGGAAACCACATCACCCGTTGTTCACCAGTCCCATCCCTGGCTCCTGGGGAAGATGGGTATTATCTTTGCCACCAGGTAATTTAAGGTCAATTCTGTTGATGGAAAATTAAATCTGTCCCCCCTAGCAACTAAAAAAAAACCCCACAAATTTAGGCAACACAACAGCAAAATCAGTCAGTTAGTGATGTATTTGGTCCAGATGGATGAAACTTCTGGGTGATGGAGCTCGCTCAAGGCCTAAAGAGGGGTCATTCCTGATCTTTCCTCTCCAGCCCTCTTCCCATCAGCCAAAGGGCTCCAGAGCAGGCTGGCAGGAAGATACCGGACCAGGCACCTGAGAAGCCAGGCTGCTGTGAGGGGGAGATGCACCCTGAGGCAGTGACGCAGGAACCTCAGGCTGCAGGATGCTGGCGGGAGAGCCCGGTTGCTAGGAGACGGCAGCCAGTGTGGGAGAGCTGACTTGAGGAGTGTAGGCAGGGCTGGAGCTGAACCTGGCAGGCAATCCAGGGAAGACAGAAAAGGAAGGGCAGATCCCTGGCTTCATCTGCAAAGTCACTGGTAACACAGAAGGGTAGCCGGGAAAACACACTGTGTCCCCTGGTCCAAAATAAATCATACTCATGGGTAGAGGGAACATCTCTAAGGCTTGATGGTTCCAGTGGCTTGTTTGGGAAAACACTGGCTCCACCTTCTCCTTGGCCCCTGTTAGTGTGGCCTCTGGGGCTGAGAGATGTTTCAGGTAAATAGATTAAGGCTCTGCTGAGCGGAGAAGCTAGAGGATCCGTGTTTCTCTTTAAGGTGGAAAAGGCATGGGGGGGAGGGGGTGGTTGGGGGGTGTGGCACCCTGTATATGTTTGCCCAAATTTTGAAAAAGAAAATGTGTTGGGGAAAATACTTGTTCACCCATGGTCACAGCAGCGTTATTCAGATAGCTTAAACGTGGAAACAACCCAAGTGTCTGTCGACAGATGAACAGAGCAACACAATGTGGTCCATCCAGACAATGGGATATTCAGCCTTCAAACAGAAGGAAATTCTGACCCATGCACAGCATGGATGAACCTGGAGGACATTATGCTCAGTGAGATAAGCCAGGCTGATTTGGGCTACTATGAAGAGATGTCATTTTTAATAGCTGCATAATATTCCACCAAATGAACATATCATGATTTGCTTAAACATTCCCCTCCTGTTAGATATTTAGATTTCTTTCAAAAATTATAAATTATAATGAGGTAAAATGTTCCTGAACAGTAGGGATTTTGTTCCTCCCAAGAATGGAGTTTCTCAGTCAAAGGGCATGACATTGGAAGGAATTTAAAACTTTGATATGAAAGGTAATGTTCCATCAGAGCTCTGTCAGTTTCCCTCTCATTGTAAACAAAGGAGCCCTACTCACCCCTCCTAAGTCAGGACTGTGCCTTCTCATTTAAAAAAATATGTTTCTGCACATGGATATAAGTTTTACAGGTTTCTTTCTGTGACATTTGTTTCCTCCACTGCTGTTCTTTCATTTTCTCATTCATTCAGCCTGTTTATTGAACACCTGCTGTGTGCCATGGGCACTCATGTCTTCCTGATGTCTACCACTGAGGATGTTGAGAGCTATTCACTGTTCAATCAGCAAATACCACCTTCCCTGAGAGAAACCAAAAACGAACCAGAAGTTGTCACTTCATGTGATGAGGGTGGCTCTGAGCCCTAGTCCCAGGTTGGTCCTTTAAAGTATTTAGCCATGGGGTGTCAGGATGGCTCACCTGACCTTCTTGAGACTCTATAAAACTGGATTTAAATTAGCAACTCCAACTTGCAGAGCTGTGGGAGAACTCAGTAATAAAAGGAATTTTTTAACTCTTGCTGCGCAGAAAGGTTCAGCCTCAGGGACATGGGCACGAAGGAGGGCAGGTATGAGGGTGAAAACCAGTGATCAAAGTGAAAAGTCACACGTGAACAGTGACCCCAAATGCCTTCCCCATCTCAGCTTCTAGGTCCTGGCTATCTCCCAGTGCATGCTTTGTGCACACTGACATGTTCCACTTCCCCTGGGGGCACTCGCCACCCTGCCCCACCATCCTGGGATGTCCCTGGGGCTCCAACCTGTCAGAAGCTCAGGTGGTGACCAGGTTTCCCTATCTGAGCCCCACTACACCCCTTGAAATTTTTGATGAAGATTTGGGAAAACTGCAGGGAAACTCCTGGTGGGGGATCTGCAGGCAGAGAGCCCCCCAACACAGCTTGGCCGACCTCTCCTTCAGGAAGCTTCCAGGGGCCCCCATCCCTCCCACTGGTGGTCCCACTGTGTATCTCCTGGACCAGGCCAGGGTGGGTCCCATGAGTGGCCTGGGGCATGTGTGAAATGAAGGCTTCTCTGCCAAGTCCTGCAGGTGGGTGGGATCTGCAGAGCCAGGCTTCTCTGCACCCCCTGGAAGCTCTGTGGGAATGACCTGAGGGTGACCACACCTGAAGCACAGCCCCAGGGCAGCACCAACTACTCCACATCCTCTCCACTGGTGGCCTCAGAGACTTGGGGAGAAATGCCAGCAGGTAGAGCGCCCCTGAAAGCCCAGCAGGGTCACCTGCACCCCAAGCCAAGGACTGAATGGTCCACACCAAAAGACAAACATATGTCATTTATTCCCCTGCCCCCCAAACTTCCAGGTAGCTCTACAAATACATTAGATGTAAAGCAGCACAGAGGCTGTCCCTTAAACACAGACACGAAATCAAAGGAATCAAGCGACTGTAGATGGAGTTGACACAAAGATAAGCTTTTCTCCTTCAGTGCCAGCCAAAAAATCTGGTCACCAGAAAGGGAGGTTTGGACAGAGTGGGGTGGGGGCTGGGCAGGAGCTACCCCCATGTCCACCAGTGCCAGGACCATGTCCACCAGGAGGTACCTGACCCTGTGTCCTGCACTAGGTACAGCCCCTGACCTCCCATGAGGCAAGTGCTGGACCTGCATAGGCCAGACCTACACAGGGAAGATGGGAGAAACCCAGCCCTAAATGAGACATTATAGGGCAGCTCCTCCAGAAGCAGAAGGCACTCAGTGGTCGGGGTGGGCCTCAGGGTTAGGGAAGATTCTGGTCATAGATGTTACTGGGAGGGGGGCAGAGGAGCACTCAGCCCTTTTGCTGTTCCCACGGCAGGGAGGGGAGAGGAGCCCAGCTTAGGCCCTGCAGACCCAGGATGAAGGGCCATCTCTAGGCTGGTGAGCGGGAGAGGCAGTGTGTTTGGAGCAGGCCCCCACCCCTAGCTCTCCCTGGCCTGCCTCCCAGGGCTAGCCTTCAGGACAAGGGGCCCCAGATGGGCACGCCCTGGTGATTTCAAGTCCATGCAAGGCTGGGGCAGCCACAGGAAGCAATTTATAAACCCACACCCTTAGTAACCCCAGGTGAGTTTAAAGCTAGCAAAAGTGCCAGGGTTCAAAGTTGCAGTGCTACACCTTCTACAGCTTCTATGCAGCACTGGGGGCACCTCGGGGTGTGGGGTGCTGCCCCACCTGGAGGTTCTCATCCCTGGGTGATGCAATTTCACCAATGATCAAAGCACAAGTGTTTTTAAAGAAATCCATGGAATGCTACTGGAAAGGAGAACATGACTCCAACATCAGGGATAAAGCAGCCACTCAGTGGCATGTCAGTCCTGCTGGGGAGGCGAGGCCATCACACAGCCCCTCTCCACCGGACTGGCCTGCTTCCCTGGGCCTTCCTCAGCCTCTCCAGCCTCCCGGGGCCTCTTCCGGAAGCGCAACCCAGGCCTGCTTCTGGGCGGCGGTAAGGGGTCCATGCCCAGGATCTTGTGGATTTGCCTAAATGCCAACATGCGCAGGGCATGCTGGGAGCAGACAGCCCGTCAGGACCCTCCTGCCTGTGACCCGCTCACCCAGCCCCATGGCCCAGTGGCTCGCCAGGCATCTGTCCTTGGCAACACCCTTCTAGCAACTGCTGAGCTCAATTACCATCAGGCATGAAGAACTGCAGGGAGTCGCTCAAACTGCTAAGGGCAGGACAATGCCTGGAAGCCCCTTGGAACACTAGTGGTTTCCTGCCTCACTGCAGGGACCCCAAATCCTGCGTCTCCCAGTTTGGCTCTGATCATAAGCAATTTGATTCTTTGCATTAAGACAATTCCTAAATGTCAGGCCCAGTGTGATTTTTGTACCACTGGGAGACTTTCTTACAAACTCACAACCAAAGGGAAAGCACAGATGGGGGCTCTGCTTTCGTGCTTGAGGCTGGCCAGCCACAAGCTGGGTGTTTACAGAGCATAGGTGGTGGTAAAACACCCAGGACAGTCCCAACCAGTGAGGCCCCAGGTCTGTACCTCATCACTGTGGGGGCTTCAGCTCTGAGCCAGGCTGGCCCTGGCCTCAGAAGTAGTCTTGTCACCCATGGGCCGCCCTCTCACAGGCCACCCACCTCTGCAGGGGGAGGGAAGGGGAACCCCAGGCCATTTCCTGGAATGCTGCATAGCTGCAAACAGGGGCTGGGATGGGGTCCCACCCACAGCCAGGTTAAGCTGGCCTGGAGTTGGGGAGCCACAGGAGCTGACCATCCTACCTGGGCGCTGGCTGTGATGTCTTCCCGCTGCTGGAGGGTCATGGACTCGAGCACGTCCATCTGGTCTTTCTCACAGGGATCCTGGAGTCCAGGTCCATCTTTGCAAGGAGGGTGGGGGTGGAAAAGAAGATAGAGCACCCTCATGAAGGACTGCCAATGCCAGGGGCATGAGAGGCTCCGAGCACAGGGTCTGTGACTGCACCCCTCTGCACCCACCACCACAGAGGCCGGCCTGCATGCCTTTGGCTGCCACAGGATCTCCCCTGGGGGCATCTCACCCAAGCCACTCCTCCCTCTCTACCCACAAGTACACTCAGCAGAGCTCCTTCCTGACTCTGTGTGGTAGTTATTTAACAGGCTCACAGCACAGGCCCAGTGTGTTTTCTTTTCTTTCACTTAATGTATCATCCCATGTCACTAAAATGGCTGGGAAACAGCCTCTCTGTCTCTGACATCTCATGAGAGCACACGATGGATGCTTCTCTTCCTTTCTGCTACTGTAAACTACACTGTGGTGAACATCTCCATACATAACCCATTATCTGTCCTGTGATTTCCTGGGGAAATATTCCCACCAAGGTCATCACCTGCTGACAGCCAGGTCTCCCAGAAAGGGTGGCTGCCGTCAGAGAATGAGTGCTAGGCAAACAGACAGGGATGGGTCCCTTGCCTGCTCCATCGGCAGTGGACCTTGGCCTTCCTTTGTGGGTGAGTTCCACATGCTACTGTGCTGTACCTTTTCCCTCTGGGGGATGTGTGTGGGTGTCTGGGTCCCTCCTCCCGCCTGGGTTGGATGCTGTTCTCGAGTATTGCTAAGAGGCTCCTTCTGTACCTCACTATGACCCTCAGTCTCTGCTATGTGCCCCAGTGTTCTGAGCTCCCCAGCAGATGGGGACTGACCTGTCAGGAGCATCCCCGAGGCTACACACTCCAGGACCCGTCGCACGGCATCCCCAGGGCTCAGGGGCCCCTTGGCACTGCTCAGAGCCTTCTCCACCAACAGCTCCATGGCCTGGGCCGGTGGGGATGGAAAAGGAGACGCTATGCCTTTGAGGAGGGTGCTTTGGCCGGCTCGCTTCCCACTGGAGGGGCTCTGCTGGGCTCATCTAGGGGGTCCCAGGGGATCCCAGGACAGATGGCCCCTCCCAGCTCTTTCTCTAACTCCCATCCACTCTTGACTTCTACAGAGGAGGGTGGTCACTGAGGCCTTGTCACCTCCTGGTGTGGCCATGGGTAGTTTTCTTCACTCTCTAACCCTCAGCCTCCCCATTGGAAAAAATCCCGTCAATTGTAACATGGCAAACTAGCTTTTTAAGGGTTAAAAGAAACTTGTTCTCCATGACCCATGGTACATTTAGCCAGGGTCACAATGACTCTATCACTTACTCAGGTGTGCCCCCTCCTCCCAGGAGCCACTCCTCTCAGGTGGGTTGTAAGCTGGCCACTGTGCTGTCTGCAAGGGGGTGACACTGAGAGCAATGTCTCCCTTGGACACTGGGCAGGAGGCAGAGATCCTGGGGGACACCGGAACCCTTGGTTTTGGAGATGGCCCTCGTGAGTAAGGCCAATGGTGGCCTGGGACAGGATGGAAAGGGCCTGCTTGTCCAAGAGCCCCGCTTCGGGAGGGGGAAGAGATGAACTGGCAGCAGGAGGCTGCGCATAGAAGGCAAACACTCCTCAGAGTTCAGGAGGCTGGAGCCTTCCCAAGAATAATGTGAACAACTTAAAACCTACAGGTTGCCCCACCCAGCACTGGGCAAGGGTTGGTGGGTAGGTGTGAGAGACGAGAGCGGGACACTCGGAGACAGACCTACCGAGAGGGTGGAAGCTGAGGTCTCACAACTCAGCAGTTTGGGTACTCAGGGGGCATGGGGACCCCTGCACTCTCTCTTCCCTCATCTCCTACTGGCCAGGTGTGGGGGTTCAGAGCTGCAGGGGGTCTCCCCTCCAGAGGAGGTAGGGGTGCACCAGGTCCCCCAGAGGACAGAGTGAAGCCAGGATGGGCACTGGGTCTCTGACCTCACTAGGCCCTGTGCTCATGCTGCCCATTTCCCTGCTGCCCTTGAGGTTTAAGAAAATATAGCCAAGTGAGGCTGTACTCCAGAGCAGATCTCTTCTGGGTGCCAAGGGACCCCTGAGACCCCCTACCGTGATCAACCTTTCCTGGGCACTCAGGCTAACGCCAGCCCCTTCTGGGAAAAACAAGTGCTAGAGGGGAAATGTCTGTCCGGGAGGAAATAAGGCCCTCATGGGCTTCCCAGAGCAGGCTGACTGCCTGGCACTGCCTTACCCAGTCTGGCAGGACCCCCCAGGTGGGCACACGCTGGCAGAGGTCCCGAAAAACCCTGATGACGATTACACAGGGTTGTAGGCCGCTGGCTCGTGCCTTTGGGAGAAGAAGAGCATAGTTAGCTCTGGAAGCCATATGCATGTGGGTGGGTGTGAGGCCAAGGGAACAAGGGCGGACCCTGGGGGCAGTGAGCCGAGCCAGGCTCCTGTCTTGGCAGTGGAGGTTAGGAGGGTCTCCAGGGGGCATGGCTGGCTGGCCAGGACGGTGGTGGCTGGCAGCGGGCTCCATGCCCAAATGAGAACAGGCCAACAGAACTTGCCCTGCTCTGATTCCCACCCATCGGGTTAGTGCAAGGAGACATGAGCCAAACAGCTAGCCAAGGAGTTGGCTAAGGGGGTAGCTGACAGGACAGACAGGTGTGAACCCCCCAAACCCCAACCCCTAACCTGGAACCACTTTGCATGGCGGAGGGCGGCCAGTGACTGGAGACACTTTTCCAGGCTCAAGACATCCCCTGGGTCGGGCAAAGGTACTTCCATTCCTTCTAGAAGAAATGGGCATGTGGGCAAGGTGCCCTTTCCCACTTTGCTCCTTCCCTGGGCCACATGGGCAGTGTCTCTCAGTTCTCTGGGCCTCATTTTATTTATCTAGAAGATACACTCCTCCCAGATCATCTTTGCTCTGGGATCCTGCAGAGACTAGAGAAATCACTTCTGTGAAAATCCTAACTCCTCTGGTTAGTGCCCATGAGGAAAGCATTTAATGCTTATTACTGAGAGCTTTCAGTGCCGACTCCCTGGGTTAGCAAACTACAGTGCAGGTGGAAAACTATAAATTAAGCCAGATTTTCAGAAACTTCCAAATGCATAATTAAAAGGGAGAAAGTGGGCCCTGGTGAGGTGGCGCAGTTGGTTGGAGTGACGTCCCATACACCAAAGGGTTTCGGGTTTGATTCCCAGTCAGGGTGTGTATAGGAGGCAACTAATCCATGTTTCCCTCTTTCTCTCTCTCTCTCCCCGCCTCCCCCCCCATATATCCTCAGGTGAGGATTAAAAAAAGGGAGAAAGTGGGTCATATTTGAACACATTCCATCATTGATGACAAAGGCCTCCGTGTCTGAGAGAAATTCCGATCCATTGTTTCTTTCTTACTATTATCGCTTCAAGAATATTCTCAGCTCGTTCTAGGACACCCTGGTTTATTTAGGTCACATGATGAAGCACAGGTTTCACTTTCACCCATAAATATTCCCAGGGATCTTGTGCCTGTCACCTGCCTATCACAGGCTGAAGTGGAAGTGGCAGGGTGTGTCTCTGAGGAGAGGTTAGAAGCTACCCTCCAGCAACAGCCAGCCCAGGGCGTGGACACCTCAGTGAGGAGACCCCGGAGTGAGGCTGACGGGTTCCTGGTGGTCATAGAACCTATGTTCCTTACAGAGGGGTTTCTGTGTCTTAATTTTTCCAGTCAGCCTCCACCTAGTGGCCACAGATCTTTAACACTTTCTAACATTCCCAGTCTCCACCTTGTTCATGTGTTTGAGCAAACCTAGCAAGACCTTTGGCTAGAATTTAATGGTGTTGTTCATTGCCCCCTGTATTTATTTTTAATATTTATTTATTTATTTATTTATTTATTTATTTATTTATATCTTTATTGATTTCAGAGACAGGAAGGGAGAGGGAGAGAGAGAGACAGAAACATCAATAATGAGAGTCGTCATTTATCAGCTGCCTCCTGCACGACCCCTACTGGGGATTGAGCCCGAAACCCAGGCATGTGCCCTGACCGGGAATCGAACCATGATCTCCTGGATCATAGGTCGATGCTCAACTGCTGAGCCACACTGGCCCAGGCCCTGTATTGATTTTTAAATGACCCTCTATTTATGACAACTGATAATGGCTTTCCACTTACAGCCAAAGGTTCTCCTCTTTAAAAATTTAAGTATTAACCCTGGCTGGTGTGACTCAATGGTTAGAGCATAGGTCCTTGCATCAAAGGGTCATGGGTTTGATTCCTAGTCAAGGGCATGTACTTGGGTTGCAGGTACATCCGTGCCCTGGTCAGGGCCACATGGGAGGCAACCAATCTGTGTGTTTCTCACATTTATGTTTCTCTCTTTCTTTCTCTCTCTCCCCCCTCCCTCTTTCCCTCCCTTCCGCTTTCTCTAAAAATCAGTGGAGCCCGTCTGGGTGTGGCTCAGTGGTTGAGCATCAACCTAGGATCCAGGAGATCGAGGTTTAATTCCTGGTCAGGGCACATGACTGGGTTGCGGGCTCGATCCCTGGTTGGGGGTATGCAGGAGGCAGCTGATCAATGACTCTCTCATCATTGATGTTTCTATCTCTCTCCCTCTCCCTTCCTCTCTTTGAAATCAATAAAGATATATTTTTAAAAATAAATAAAAATAAAAATTAGTGGAAAAAATATCCTCAGGTGAGGATTAAACAATAATAATAATAATAAATACAAATGTAAGTTTAAAAAATGAATTGATTTAAAGAAAAATGTTGGTAGTTGGTGGCCCTCAGGTATGACTAAACAACAATCATGAAGGGGGTTCAAGAATGAATGGAATTTGGAAATGGTTCTAGGAAGTTCCATGACTCAATGCGCCTCGGGGGCCTCCCTGTTGGCTGGCCTTCACCCGCGTGGTGGTGACTCAAGGCCCTCACTGCCCTCTGGCCTGGCCCAACACCCCCTCCCACTCTCTCAGGCAATGCCAATATGCCTCAAGCCCCCTGACCCCTGTGTCCCACACAAGTAGTGTTGGATCCAGCAGGCTCTGCTATGACCTCTGCTATGGCCTCTGCTATGGACAGATGGACAATCTGAGCTCCTGGGGACCTGGCACAGCTGGTTGCCCCTAGGCAGGGCACAGGCACCCCCACTGGCCTGGAGGCAAGGCAGGAGTGTGGTGCTGCACAGGCAAGGCCCAGGAGCACATGCACAGCCCAGTTCTGAGCCCTTCTGACACTCTGACAGCTCATTTCCTCTGCTGCCCCAAGGCCCAGCTCTTATCTGATCAGTGGTACCTGGAGCTGACAGAAATGCCAGAAGGCTGCACCCCCAACCCTCTGCCCCTGCCCAGAGCAGAGTCAGATACTTCCCCAAGCCACCTGCTATGTGGGGAGGGGGGCTGGACAGAAGGGCCCGGCTGCACCTCTGTCCATGGAGGGGTCCTCCCGCATTAGGGGCGAGGTGACAGACACAGTGACCCGTATTCTGGGCTCCTCACAGGATGAGATGATGATGTTGGCTTCCAGGTCAGAGGAGACCTCATACTTGTCCTCCGTCACCATCTATGAGGTGCAAACATAACACTAGGTCGAGTTACTCCAGCCGAGAGACAGGTGCAAGCAGCAAGGACATGGTCAGGTACAGGCCTTGTGCCAGGCACCTGGAGCCTCCATGAGACTGAGACAGCCCTGCCCCCCAGAAGTACACATGCAGAAATGTGTATAGATGACGACCCTTGCGTATAAGGTGCCTTCATATGTAAGGAATGCCCTTGACAAGGACAGCAATCCAATAAAAAACACACACAAAACTGGTCATTGCTTTAACAGATAGTTGGAAGGAAAGGAAACAGAAGTGTCCTTTTTACACAGTGACATAGATAACCCCCACAGTGAGAGAGAAACCAGTTAAAACTCTGAGGTACCATCAGCACCTGTGGACGAAACTCAGAAGTCTGAGCAGCAGCTGGGCCTGCAAATCCGTGCGTCTCTTACAAACTGCGGGTGGAGGCTGAGCTGTCAGCACCGGGAGCACCAGGCTCGTGCCTTTGACCCAGGGACTCTGGCCCAGGGGGAGCTTCCATGTGTGTGGAGCGGTGTGCACAAGGGCATTTATTTTGTGCAGCCTCAACGGTAATGCGGAACGCTGGGAACAAACTAAACGTCCTCGGCCAGGACCTCGGTCACATGCCTCCCACGGTCCTATGGAACATGGCTCCCTCCTTCCTGAGTGCTCTCTACCTGGCATCAGGCTTTAATTTCCTCAGGAGATAAAGTTAGCATGTTATGTGTTTTCTTATCTGCTCCTGACCAGAGTGGGAGCCCGAAGGTGGCCTGGGTCTGCTGCCCACGCTCACTAAGCCAGCAGGAGGAACGAGGCAGAACTTTCACAGGAACGGTGCCAGCCTCATCGGAGGAAACCTATGATGACCAATTTAAACCGTGACCTGATCTTACTCTTCTCCCCCAGTTACCATGAGAAAAGGAAACCGGAACCGCTCTAGCGAGAAAACCTGGGCCGTCTCCCACAGTCCTCAAAATGGGTTTCCATTTGGCCTCACGCCTCTCTAGGCTCCTTCCTCTGCTCTCCACTGAATCTCACAGTCAACGTGGCAGGAAACATTTCCTGTGCCTTCACCATGAATCCTTTTAAATGGCTCGTCACCATTCTCATGGCTGGACATTTACGTTTTCCCTGAATTTACTTTCTATAGAAACCCTGAATTTCCACCTCTTTCTCTTTGCAACTGTTTATAAAAACTAACTGGTTTGTATCTAATAATGACGACCACTCTTGCTTCTTAAAATCCTGTGAAGCAAAGTCATTCCTGTCAGGGAGCCTGAGGGGCTCTTGAGAGAGGGCTGGCAGCCCCCCCCCCCCCCC